TAGACTGGGATGGTGGTATGAGGTACGACCTCCCATTCCGCGTCGAGATCCTCTTGGGGTTGAGGATGGAACTCGGTGGGTGCCCAGTGCGAGATGGACCCGTCTTCATACAGGACCGCCTTCAGTGCCTCGACCCCATCGGTAAGCCACCCAGGCTTCTCGATCATGGCGACGAGGGGTTGGAAGATGACCGGCGTGAACTCACGAGGTGTCTTGGCGTCTCTGTAGTGGACTTGATTGGAGAACGTTCTGAAAAGTTCGACCTCGTATTGTTCAACGCCTTCTTCCTTGCCCACGAAGCGAATGCTGAGGATGCGCGTCCGGTTGGGTGTTGGATGCCAGTCGTGCATGCCTGGGATGGGTGGCGGATAGAGCAGAGCGACCCATTGACTGAAGACACGATGAGGTGAGTCTTCCAAGTAGAGGTGCCAGGCAACCTTCTGGTTGTCCCAAGTGAAGACGAAGGCATGGAAGGTGGCGAACTCGCCCGTGCCCGTACGATGAACGTAGAGACAATGGCCATCGCGTTCCATGAGGAATGTTAGTGGCGTGGTGATGAAAACATCGTAGGGGGATGCTACGTCCGGAGCGACGAGCGATACCTGTCCTGCCGCTGGGTTGCTCGAAGACTTGACCGTTCGAGCGTACCTTATCTGCTCCTTGATGGTGTCGGCCGGTGCAGGTTGTGATCCATCCTCAGGTGTGGTGTTGTAGGGGTAAGTGGCGCCAGGACGGTGGGGATGGCCCGATTGTTCATCGTCGGCATTCCTTGCCTGTTCATCGTCTTCACCCCAGGGTCTCTCCGTCATCCAAGATCCTCCCGTCGTCTATCGACCTGTCTCGTCTTCATCGTCTCCCCACCGTGCACTCCTCCATGACTCGGCCAGTGCTTCGTCACTAATGTTGTTCAGGAGCGGGATGTCATCTCCGTCACTGTCGATGAGGAGTCCCGGCTCCGATGCGCTGCGAGTGACGGTGGTAGTGACACGGATGTTGAGCGACATTGGTGGAGGTGGTAGAGCGGGGCGATTCTCTTTATCCCAAGGGTAGATTTCCTCGTAGAGTTCCCACTTGAGTAGGAGGAGGCGATGGTTCAGTAGGGGAAAAGGAGGGCCGCTACTTATACCTTCGAGCAGCCGTTCTTCTTCTTCGTACCAGTCTATGATATGAATGTTGGCCATTCCCGTACGTTCTTCCACTGGTATTGTCATTATCCTTGATACGGTACCGTGTACGACACTGAATGCATCCAGAGCGAATGAGAGTGCTGCGGGTAAGATATCAAAGTGTAGCGGATGATCTAGAGCGTACGACGGTGGGAGGATTCCCACTGGAAGGCCGGCGTAGACAGCTGTTAGGATAGTCCGGCGTCGATCTGGCTCTAGCTGGGGCAGGTGGAGTTTCTCTGTTAGGTACATTGGGTAGTTCATTCTCATGAACGTTCCCCATGTTCCGTCTAGGTCGATATCGACGTCATCCTCTAGCGTTACTTTCGGCTTGTCCGTTTGGAATGGAAACGGGTAGGGGATTCTGATTAGCCCGCTAGGGCGAGGGGTTAGATATGGCTGTCGTCGAGTTGACCTGAAGCCGTCCAGGAGGTGGACTTCGTGAACGTCGTCCGCTCTCTCAATGAGATCGTTCATCATGACTTGGATGGGTCGTGTTGAACTCGACGTTGGTATGGTCGAAGTCGGCAAGATCGTCGATGGCGAATCCAGCCCCTCTGATAGCGAGATAGACTCCGAGTTGCTGGAAGACCTGGTAGCGATGATCATGGGAGGTGTGAGATTCGACGTCTTCGAGAACTTCGATAAGATGCGCAAAAGTGGTGATAGCAGATTCGAGAAACTCGGGGTGTTGCACAGGCATGAGGGCATGGACTGAGGGTTCAGGCCAAGTCATGCTCCTTTTTATACTCGTTCAGCAACTCTCCTGCATTGCCCATTTCTGTCTCTTTTACCCACGACCTTTCGCTAAGTGGATATCCAGCCCATTTTACCAGATATTCGTTCTTGCTGTGCCGTAGTCGATGTCCAATTATAGACTCGATTTCAAATTCTTCCTCTCCTTCGATAAGATCCGGAGGCGGTGTTGAATAACTTTCCCCATGTGTATTGGTCTGCCGATATGGCGTGAGCAACGCCGCATGAAACACCGGATGGATCTTCCATGTCGCAGGAAGGTCTAACTTGAACGAGAGTGGTCCCAGAACCTCCTTGATCCTGAAGGGTCCTTCTCGCTTTGGTGCTAGCTTATTCGATTTGTAAGGTCTTTTCAAATTGGTGGCTTCCAGCCAGACCTTGTCTCCTTTCTTGAACGTCGGAGATCCTCCTTTGATCCTAGCGGATACACGGGCTTTTGCCTTGATGATTCCTTCTGTGGCCTCCTTGCGGACCATGCTAAGAAGCTTGAGTCTTGCATCTACGTCGGGGATCTCGTCCTGAGGAAACAGTTCTGGCATTCCTCGGGGCTCGTAGCCATACCATATTTCGAATGGTGACTTCTTTGTCACTGAATGGGTGTGAAGATTGTGCGTGAACTCTGCTTCGGATAGAAATTGATTCCATCGATGCGGTTGCTCCGCACAATACATTCGAAGATATGTTTCCAATTCTTGATTCATTCGCTCCGTTTCGCCATCCGTCTGCGGATGATAAGCTGTGCTCATAGCTGACTTGATCTTGAGCGCAGTACACAATGCTTGGAATACTTTGGATGCGAATTGTGTTCCACGATCAGAGATGATCTTATCGGGTAACCCAAAGCATTTCCAGACTTGTCGTCTAAATAGCTCAGCGGTTTCTGAAGCAGTGATCGTCTTCTTGCAGGGACATAGAATTACCCCCTTACTAAGCCCATGGTCTACCACGACCATTATTGAATCGAAGCCTTTGCTTTTCGATAAATCTGTAATAAAATCCACGCTAACTTGCTTGAAAGGTAGCGCATTGGGCGAAGGGCCGATGGGGTGTAGTGGAACTTTGACCTTATTTCGAACAGCTTTGGATTGCTGACAGGTGGCACATCCATTGACGTAGCTTTGGATGAAACGATACATTCCTGGCCACCAGAAATCTTTGCGCACTAGTTGGTGCGTAACCCAGATTCCTGGATGACCATGGGGAGTGGCTTCATGGTATCGGCGAACAATTTCCTTCTTTAAGGCTGTATTGTTTGAGACATATATGCGTCCGTGGATGGTGATTAAGCCATTGTCAGCGTCCTTGATGTCGTCCTTGGTCATTCCTCGTGGGACTGGAAGTTCCTCCATTAGACCGTCTTTGTACGCAAGTACCGACGGGTCTTTTGTTAGCGCTTGTCGGATTTGTTCCGCCATATCTGTATCGATAGCGCCAATAAAAAGATCGTCGGATAGCAGGATCGCAGGTGACTTGTTGTCCTATCGATTGTCTAATTCGGACAACCGTGAAAGCGCATCCGCTTGCACCATTTGTCATCCTGGTGTATGGACAATTTTGTAATTGAACATAGACAGGAAGAGTTGCCATCTTCGCTGTCTTGGGTTCAAGTCCTGCGGTTGCCTGAAGTATGTCAGATTCTTGTGGTCTGTGCGTATGAGGAATGGCTCCTTTGTTCCATCGAGGTAATGTCTCCATTCCTTGAGTGCACGGATGATTCCTAGAAGCTCCTTATCGTAGATTTGATAATTGCGTTCGGGATCAGAAAGCGACTTGGAATAATACGCGCAGGCATGGAGATCGCCATTATCGTCTTTTTGCATGAGGACTGCTCCTGTAGTGAAGTCCGATGCATCAGTTTCGATGACAAAAGGCTTGTCTTTATCTGGCATAACCAGTATTGGTGCCTTGCCAAACTCGTTTTTGAGATGATCGAAAGCAGCTTGTTCTTTGCTTGTCCAATGGAACACATTCCCGCCCTTGGTCTTGGTAAGATCGATTAAGGGTCTTGCGATTTCAGAATAGTTCCGAATGAACTTTCGATAGAAGTTGGCGAATCCTAGAAATGCTCGTACTCCTTTTATACCAGTCGGAGCTTCCCATTTGATGATCCCATTGACTTTTGCTGGATCCATCTGAAGTCGTCCTGGGAGGAGAACTAGTCCTAGGAAGTCAGTGCGCGTAGTCTTGAACACGCATTTCTCCAGTTTGAGATAGAGGTCATTGTCGACCATTTTCTTAATGACTCATTCAAGCTTCTTTTCCAACTCCTTTTCGCTTTCGGCAAGGATGAGAATGTCATCCAGGTAGCATAGTAGCCATCCTTCAGCAATTTCTTCTGCGAATATCTCGTTCATCATTCGCTGAAAGGTTGCCGGTGCATTGCACATTCCGAAGAACATGACTGTAGGTTCGAACAATCCTCGTTTGGTAATGAAGGCAGCCTTCCATTCGTCTTCTTGACGAATTCGGACATTGGTGTATGCTCCACGAATGTCAAGCTTCGCGAAATACTTGGCATGGTGAAGCCGGTCCATTAGGTCCGATATGAGTGGGAGTGGATAGGCGTCCTTAATTGTTCCTTCATTCGCATAGCGGTAGTCCTGGCATGGACAAAGCCCGCCATCTTTCTTTCCTACAAAGAAGAAAGGTGATGCCATCGCGGATTGCGAAGGACGAATATATCCTTTCACAAGATTTTCGTCGATAAAGGCATTCATAGCTTCTTCTTCTGGCTTTGATAGGTTATAGACCTTTCCTCGTCTAGGAACAAAGTCCGGCTTGAAGTTTATGTTGTGATCGTAAGATCTATGCGGTGGTAACCGTTCTGATGCCTTTTCTTTGAAAATCCGCTTGTATTTGAGAAGATATGATGATATCGTTACTTTCTTCTTTGAATTCTTCTTTTCTTCGAGTGCTTTCTTTTGTGCGAGTTCTTGCGCCTTATTTGATGCCTTCCATAAGATTCCATCTTGCTTTCTTGTTTGATGGGGATCCTTTTTGGAAGTCGTCATGGGACATTGATCTGCTTCATGTCCCGGTCGTCTGCACTGATAGCATAGTCGTTTTTTGACTAATGTTTGATTCGTTCGTCGCAGCGCAAGATACTGCATCTTCCTTTCTCCAGTCGAGCGATGTCCCTTTTCTTCGAGCGTAACTTCTTGGAGTATGCCAGTATCAGGTTGATAAGCGAAAATAGCTTCTTTTTCTCCTATTTCCTGATCCTCCAAGTATGGTGCGCCTTTGATGTATGCAAGCAAGAGGTCCGAATCAACGGTTCCTGCCTCATCTGGTGCAGGATCGACATCAGACCAGTCAATCCTTCTCAAGGTTCGCTTGGCTTTGGCTTTCTCCTTTTTGGTGATTGGAAGACGAACAGCGTCTTTATCTTTGAAAGGCCATGGTTCCTCGTCTGGTACGTCTTCTACATATTGACGGACCTTGACTTCACCCGTTTGCCAATTGATGATTGGATTGTGATCATGAAGCCATGTATTGCCAATGATCACGTCTTCTTTTCCTAAGTCGATGACAAGGAAATCATCATTCCATTCATACGTTCCTGCACGAACAGTTCCTTTGAATCGTTGGTTTGTAGAGTTGATGGGGCTTCCATCGACACTGCGAATCTTGACTTCTTTCTGCGATTTGAGAAGATGAAGTCCTGCTTTCTTCGCAAACGATTCATTGATGAACATTCCTTTTGCTCCAGAATCGACTAAGGCTCGTGCTGGAATACTTCGGATTCTTGTACCATCGTAATCTTGGAAGACGATATTGAGGTATATTTCGCTTCCTCGCTTGATATCGCCTCGTATGATTACTTCCTCGGGGACCGTTTCTTTATCTGGGTGCCACGAGATCCCAACGCGCACCCAATTCCAAAACCCTCTGGATCATCTTTCTCCATGGGTGGTGGATATCGGCGTGCGTATTCATATCTGTCTGGATTGTCTCCGAATTCCAGAAGATCGTCGAGATGGGGCATCGTCATGTTGCGTTTCTTAATACGGTCTCCTCGCATTTTGAGTGCATCTTCCCGTCGTATCCTAGCGAGTTCTTCTTTGGGGATGAATCTTCGAACCACATACTCTTCTTCTGAGTCGCTGAATTCATCCTTGGTTTGCCTGATTTTGCGAACTGTTTTGGTTTTAACAGGGCGAGCTCTTCGTACCCTGTGAACAACTGTTTCTTGTTCGGATACTTCTTCAGATTCTGATGATTCAGATTCTGATTCTTCCGATGATGAGGATTCTGATTCTTCCTGTTCCGACTCCTCCGAGTTATCCTCAGAGTCGCTTTCCTCGACTCTCTTTACTCGTCGGCGTTTCTTCTCCGTTCCCTTGGAGTAAGATTTAGTCGGCTTGGAAGTCTTTCTTCGTCTGCCAGATCCGGAGTATTTTTTCGTCCTGGAATTGGACGTCTTGGTCTTGGCATATGAAGTTGTCTTTCCTGAGCGATCTGGTGCCGGATCATATTCTGCATTTGGGCATTGTGTGGCGACATGTCCTGGCTTTCCGCAGTTGTAGCAGAGTCCATCCACAGAACGTTTCTTATGGGTTTCTGGGGAGATCCGGTCAATGTCCATTGCGTCAGGGTCCTTCTCCATCCTTCTTCCGCTTCCTGAAGAGCCTGAGATGAACTTGAAGATATTTGTCTTTCCGCTATGAATGTCCTGGAGGTCTGTGACCTTCCTTGCGGCCTTACATGCTGCTGCATAGGTCGTTGGCAGATTTTCCGTGATGAAGACTTTTTCTGCGAGTTTCTCATTAAGGCCTCGTTTGAAGTGGATGAGCTTGGCGTATTCGTCGTCGATTTCGGCATATCGGTAGAGGATATCAAGATTTCCGATGTACTCGTCGACGGTTTGCTTATCCTGCTTGTGCTTTCCTTCGAGAAGTACTTGCCAAGCTTGGTCCTTGGTTGCGACACCTCCGTACTTTTCGGTAAGCGTCGTCTTGAAATCCTGGTACGTCCCAAGATTGCTGTGTTTTGCCATTTGGTTGGCTTCACATGACTCGGCCCACTTTCCTGCTGTGGATGAGGAGTCGATTTGGGAGAGGACGAAGGCAATTTTGCTGAAGTCATCATTGTAGACTCCTTCATTTGCCTGTAGGTATCGTTCCACATTTCGGAGGAACGATGCATATTCTCGTTTGTCTCCCCTGAACTCCTTGATTTTTCCCATCTTTTTTTCCCACGCCGCTGGCTGCTTGGGGATCGCTCCCTGGTATTGTGCATAGAGTCCCAATGCTTGTTGGTACTCGTCCCAGACGGCATCGGTACAAGTTCCGGGATGGACTGGTGGTCCGAGAGCCGGGTCATATCGTGCGTGTGTCGCCATACTTCCTGAGAACTGGAAGCTACCAGTTGGTCTTGATCCGGTTGAAACCGAACGTGTGATTCCAGGCGCGTTGGGTAGGTGGGGTGGCTGATCCCTTCTGAGAGGTGTGATTCCTGGATAATCTGGTCGAGTAGTACTGTCCGAGATAGATCTCTCGAGCGGGACTGCTCTTGTTCCGAGAGGATTAACTGACTGTAATCCACTGGTTTCCTGTGAACGCCCTTCCTGTCATTCAACTTGGATTGATTCTCCTCGTGGAAGTTCTGTTGCTTCGTCAAAGAGTCGTAGCGATTCTTCGTCAAAGTTTTCCCTTCCGCGAAGAACTTGTCTTATTTCTTCGATCTCACCCTCGAGCTGCTCTAGCCTTGGGCGATCTGTTGGTTCGTAGGCTCGTCCTAGCCTAAATTGAAGTCGAAGTTGAACTGCTTCTGTCGACTTTTTGTCGTAGAGGTCTGTTAATTCCTCTGTAGTGGCGTCACTGAGCGTAAGTGGTGGTACTTCTTCGTCAGAAACCACCGGTCGTGTTTCTGGAGTATCTTCCTCAGATACTGGATCGTGTTCTCGGAAAGTAGTCGTTTTGAATCTTGTCTTGTCCTAAGATTCCTTGATTGCCTTCCCTGGGAAGGGCTTTTAGCACGTCTTCAACGTGTGCCGCAGATGAGGGCTTCTCTTCTGGATTACCACACGAGTAATCGCTAGTGCTTGAGTTCGTTCCTGTAACAAAAACTCTGCACTCCTGCCTTTTGATCTTTGGTGGCCCTTAACCAATTGTGTGCTCGCTTTTTAAAGTGCCCAGCTAGTCACTTCGAACTCCTGCCTACTCCCGTTTGAGCGCTTGGTCGTTCTGGCTGTTGATTTCCTCTGCTTGGTGCCTATAACCAATCGTCCTTCCTATCTGCATTTTCTCGATTGAAAACCAGCCTCGGCAAGGCGTGGGTGCCTTCTTTCGGTGGCCCTTAACCGGCGTCTTCTGTATACCCAGCGCCTTCGGTGAGGATGGGGCTCAAGTCGACACTGCCTTCAGCAGGTACCTTGCCGCAACAAGTACCCAGGTTCCGCTTCTCCGAGAATCTCCTGTCTGGCGAAGTACTGCCGCAACGGCTACTTCAGAGTGGTTCTCCCTGTTTTTCCCTCCTCAGGCGAAGTATCGCCGCAACGGATACTTCAGAGTGGTTCTCCCTGTTTTTCCAAGTGGTGTAGAGGCCGCAATGTGCACCGAGTTCCCTAGAATTGGATACCCCTGTTTGAGGACTTGATGGAGTTGGTTTCTTCTGTAGCGTCCAAGTAGACCCCACTTCTTGTAAGTGGTTCTAAACCTAAACAGGTTGACCTATAGAAAAACCTCTTCCAAATGTTATGAAGCGTTCCCTGCTAGAACGTTCAGAACCACGTGTGCTTTCTCACACGTACTAGTCCACAACGTGGACA